CACGACTGGGAAGTTAAAAGAGGCACTTGCAATGAGTGTGCTCAATTTAAGAAAAATAAAAAAAGTGAAATTTTCCTATGACAAATCCATGGAGGTATTTACAAGATGTTTGAGCAGGTAATTAGCACCCAAACCAGGTTTCAGGAAATAGTTCTGGTCACCTCAAATGAAGAATATATAATGAGCTGAAGAGCTTGATTTTCAATGGATGATTTACCCAGGACAATAGGCCAAACAGAACCGGGTAAAGGGTTTACAAATGGTAACTTGAGAAGCAGTAGGCTTCCTTCCCGGGGAGCTTAATTCTGTCCCCTTCTTCTACTCCCTTGTCCCTACTCTTCAGCCTCTCTTCTTCCATCACTTCCACAAAATACACACCATAACTTTTCTCGAAAAGTTGAATGTAGTCCTTAAAAAAAAAATCTGTCAAAGAAACATGGAGAGGATACAAAAATAAAAAAATACAGAGTGAAATTTGCCTGTTGGCCTCTAGACCTGACTAATTCTGGTCTATTTCAGGCTGAAACTTTTGAGGCTGCATTTTAGCTGACTTGCTGAGGGACATTGTGGAGTCTTCCCTTATTGGTTTCTTGCACCAGATAACAAGTGATGCTGAAAAGATAACCTATTCTCTTCCAAGGCTGTTCCAGAAGACTGACAACACTGAGACCTGAAGATGACCACATGAAGAGTAGTTCAACGTCTCTTAACTGACAACATTACATGATTTTGTTGATTTAAGAAAGGCCCCTTTTACGCATAGGCACTATGGTTTGCTATGCTACAAGCATTAATAGTTCTAGTAAAATAACATGCTCTGCCACAGGAATTCTGGAACAACATGAATCATAGAAGTTACCTTTCACCTACTGAGCCTCTTGTGTATAGAAAGATAGATCTTACTTTATTATAATGTCTGCATGATTCTTAGGCTCTCCCTGACCCCCCATTGCCTCAGGTACACATTTAAAACTCAAAGAAGGTAAACTAGAAATCATCTTATAGACTAGGAAGTAGGGTCAGAAAGTTCAAATTACTGCCCAAGGTCACCTACTATTGCAGCATGGACCAAAATCAAGATTTCCTAATTTCTAATTTTGACTGTTTTTTCCAGGGCATTCGACAATCTTCCCTGTGCAGTTAATAATATACGAGAGCTGCCTAAGAATACCAATTTCTACTGAGGCATGCTCTCTGTCATTAAGTGCTCCAGCAAACTGTTAATTAAGATTGTTTTGAGCTGTTTACCAATTTAGGTGATGTCAGATACTTCTCTTGGATTCTGTTAGCCTCTTGGGATGGCAGAAAATTCTGTTGATTCTGTTGCCTGCGGTTTGGCCATCTGTTCTAAATCATGATTGTGGCTGCCATTTGGAAATCCATAATCTGACACCGTTACCAGAATTGTGCGTTTAAAATGCATTAGTCTCTTTGTGAGTCACAAGCCCTTCATGAGCTCCCCTTAATTTTACAGGATGTCCACAGAGAGTGCTAACATTTAAATTTGAAGGGTATAGTGAAGAAGTTCCACTCCTGTTCTCTTCCCCTGGCATCTTGTTAAAGAGGTCTGAGATACAAAATAAAACACTGGATGGTGCAGTGTGATGGCCCAGCACAGAATGGCCAGGAAAGGTCAGAAAGAGTAATGAAATCATAGGTATTTCAGTCAGACGTACAAAGTTCTCCAGCAAGGCATGCTGGGTACTCGTCTGGGGAAAGGATCGACATGATTCAATGTGCATAGAAGACTTTCAGGAAGTATTCTGTCTTAAAACAAATGTTTCCTGGGGGCACTTGGGTGGCTCAATTGGTTAAGCATCTGGCTTCGGCCTGGTCGGTCATCATTTCATGGTATGAGTGTGAGCTCGTGTCAGCCACATCCATGCTGACATCACTAAGTCTGCTTAAGATTCTCTCTCTCTCTCTTTCTCTCTGCTCCTCCTCCCTTGCACTCTCTCTCTCTCTCTCTCTCTCTCTCAAAAAAATAAAATAAAATAAACCTTAAAAAATGTTTTGTGAAAAAAATAAATGCTTACTTAAAAAATATCTCTGCTCCTCCTCCCTTGCACTCTCTCTCTCTCTCTCAAAAAAAAAATAAATAAATAAACCTTAAAAAAAGTTTTGTGAAAAAAATAAATGCTTACTTTAAAAATATCTAGACATCACAGTTTGCACTTTCTAGAATTGATTCTTAGTACCTTAATGTTCCTAATACCCTTTATCATTCAACCTAATGATTATGCCCTTAAGGACTAAAATATCTTCTGAAATACTGAGTTAATACACAAAAAACACATAGAACAGTGCCTGGTACATGGTAAGTGTTCTGTAAGTGTTTGCCATTATTATCCATTTGTTCATGTATCATGTACTGGGTGCTGATTCTAGTAACTGGAGACTCACTAAAGGTGAGGGTCATGGGTCCTGCCCACAAGGAGTTTACAGTCACCTGACGGAAACAGATAAGCAGCTTATAGCAGAGAAATACCTGGAACAGTATACAGAAGATGTAGCGGAAACAGTTAGGAGGGGCAAGCAGATTTCCTGGCCCTACCCCAGACTTGCTGAATCCCAACATTAGGTGGTGGAGCCCAGAAATCTGTATTTTCAAAAAGCTTCTCAGGCAATTCCAAAGCAGCCTGGGGTGTTTGCCTAATCTAAATTAGGCTGGAGGAAAATTTCTGGGAGAGCCTTTCTAGAGAGGTTGATATTAGAATTGGAATCTGAAAGAGTGAAAAGTTTCCTAGGCTGAGGGAAAACTGCTCAAAGAAAGGTACGAAGGAGCTTCTCTCATCTGGAGACCTGCTGGTAGATGGGTCTGGTTAGAGTGAAGGCCTTGTGGAAAAGGGTTATACAAGTAGGTTGGCCATATATATCTCTACTCAGGACACTTGTGAGAATGAAAGGAGGTGTGATTAATAGTCTGTGGGGGAATAGGTGCCCTCTACAGGAGTTGATGCGAGGGTGCACACTGGAGCTCCGAAGAGATCTCAAGGGTCCTTCAGAGCAGAGCTTTTGCGATTTGCCCAGAATGACAGCAACCATTGAAGAGTGGGGCAGACTGGTGACAAGATCAGATCTATGCTTTAGAGTTTTTCCTGCCGTGTTGCCTTTGGCATATGCCTTTGGTTCTAAGTGAAATTGCGAATGTTGAAGAATAGTTCATGTTTATACAATTTCTTTGAATTTGTCATTTACAATTATTCTTTAAAAACACTTTTTAAGTTTAGTTACTTGAGAGAGACAGAGGCAACATGAGTTGGGGAGGCGCAGAGAGATAGGGAGAGAGAGAATCCCAAGCAGGCTCTGAGCTGCCAGCACAGAGTCCGATGCAGGGCTCAAACCCATGAAACTGTGAGATGATGACCTGAGCGGAAACCAAGAGCCCGATGATTAGCCAGCTGAGCCACCCAAACGTCCTTACAGTTATTCTTTATAAGGATCCTGATGGTAATGCTGAAAATGCACTTAACAATTACAATCAGATGTAAAGGTGACAGTCTGAGAAATCTACAGTGATAGCTAATAACTGGTTGTTTCATTTACATAATAATATCCATATTAACTCATTCTTTGTTTATTAAACACCTACTATTTATCATTCATTCCTTTAGGTACTGGAGAAATAGAGTAAACAGGCAGATGAGGTCCTTGTCTTTATGAAGTTTATATTACAGCAGAAGAGATAGACAATAACTAAGTAAATATGTAGTATAATTTAAGGTATTGTTAATTGTAGAGGAAAAGATCCAATCACAATAAGAGGCTAAAGGATTGGAGAGTAACTAGTAGTCAGGGAGATGGTATCCAAAATTAATTTGGATAGAGACAGCCTCCTTGAATGGTACTGTATGCATCAGGGGGTGAGCCAGGTGACCACCTAAGGTTCATGTGTTTCAAGCAGAGGGAAGAGGAAGTGCAAAGGTCCCGAGGTAGGAACAAGTTTGGTGAGTTGGAAGAACAGAAAGAAGAACCTCAAATTGTTTTCTGATCAGGTCACTCCAAACTCCATGCCCTCGTCTACCAGGCTTCCTGTGATCTGGCCTTTACCTACCCACACCTCCTATCTGAGTCTCACAGTTTGGGAGGGAGCTCTGGCGTGCAGGTGGAGGGTCCTTGAGAAGAGTGAGGGAATCTTGGTACCTCAGCTTTCCTTGACCTTAGTCTCCTGACTCTAATTCTGGCAGCACTTTTTTCTTTCAAGAAAAAGGAAAGAATTCTAATCTACTAGCAGAATGCTTTGTGAAAGTCATTTATTGAAGCCTTATACCAGCTCTATGGGATTAGCAATATTGTCACCATTTTGTAGGTGAGGAAGCAAACTCAAAGAGGTCAAATAACTTTTCCATGGTTATATTCTATTAAACAGTGATTTCAGGTCTTTTTTGCCACAAAATGTCTTTCAATGCATGAAGCCACAAGTCATATTAAGTAGGACATACCGCTGGTACACTACAAGGCTTTTCTGGATAGCGGCTCCAAGACACAGTTTGTAGAATAGCACTTTTCTGCCCATGAAGAAATCTCAAAGACTAGGATATAAACCTTGTATAGAGCATAGTACCCCGTCTCCCCCCACCAAAGAAGTTCACAATGAACAAGAAAGCCAGATTTTAATTCTGGTTCTGCGACTAATTAGGTCTGTGACCTTGGGATGCCCCTTTGTTCATCTGAGTCCAGTTTTCACATCTGCAAAATGGGTGCTATAATTTAAGTCTAGCTCATGTACGTGTGAAAGTGCTTTGAAGTGGAAAATGATACACACATAAAAGGAATTACAACCTTATTGTAAATATATTTGGCCAATAAAAAAATATGCCCTAGTGAATGATGGGTTCAATTTCTGAGGTTTGGAATATTAAAACACACACAAACGCACATAACTATTGGAGTGATAAATAACCAAACTGCTCTCCGGTTGCTAGTTATTTTCACCCTTCATTCTTTTTCATTCTTGAACTTTAAAGTCTATACAGAAAGGCAGATGGCTTGCCTGGAGCATGAGTTGCTGCGAGGGTACGAGGGTACGGGAGACAACGGCCAAGAAAAAACTAAGAGGGCGAAAGTCCAGGAATGTATTCTGTATAGCCAGCCAAAGAAACTGTAAGACTAAAAACAAAGCAAAACCAGTTCCCACTAATCTCAAGAAGATAAACATTGTGAGCAATGAAGAAGTTAGCAGAGTGAATAAAGCTTTTGTAGATTTACAAAAGGAACTTCCACATTTCTCCAAAGGCCTTTCCCCAGAACCTCTGGAGAAACAGCTGATTCCTCAGCAGTAACATGAAAATGAACCAGTTAGGGGTGCCTGGGTGGCTCAGTCAGTTGGGCATCCAACTTTGGCTCACCTCATGGTCTCCGTGGTCTCGCGACTCATGGGTTTGAGTTCTGCATGGGGCTGTCTGCTCTCAGAGCACACAGCCCGCTTCGGAGCCTCTGTCCCCCTTTCTCTCTGCCCCTCCCCTGCTCACGCACTCTCCTCTCAGAAATAAACTTTAACAACAACAATAACAACAAAAAAAAAGAAAGAAAGAAAATAAACCAGTTAATGTTGATGAAATGACAAGATTAACGGCTCAACTGTGATACTGTATGGATACACCAAATACAGCAAAAAGAGCAATAAATTCAATACTTTGTACAATTTTTAAAAAATAAATAAAGTCTATATAGAAAGGATAAGGAGCTGTTTAGGTCACTGCCAAGTGAGATTAACTGTGGGATGCCTTCACTGTAGGCAGTAGAAAAAGGATAATTATTTCTAGAAACTAAAAAAAAGGCAAAGAGAAGGAAATGCAGGAGAATGGGGGCCAGGTAAGAATGAAAAATTTCTTTTTTTTTTTTTTTTTTTAATTTATTTCTGAGAGAGAGAGACAGCATGAACAGGGGAGGGTCAGAGAGAGAGGGAGACACAGAATCCGAAACAGGCTCCAGGCTCTGAGCTGGCAGTCAGCACAGAGCCCAATGCGGGGCTTGAACCCACGAACCGTGAGATCATGACCTGAGCCGAAGTCGGACGCCCAACCGACCCAGCCACCCAGGCGCCCCAAGAACGAAAAATTTCTTTTTATCTAGGGCCATTTGGACTTCTGTGGAGTGACCCAATTTTAATTAGCTGGTTTTGACCAATTGTTTTCTCATCTATAGTCAGAGGTAGGTGCAGAATAGAAGTACTCAACTCCGTAAACACTGTTAGTATCCTAAGGAGCTGTCCATTAGGCCTGCCCAGCAAAGACATCTTTAGCGTCTGTAGGACTCCTGATTGGACTTACACAGGCTAGCACGTCATCCAGAGAGGGAGGTTGAACTAGAAACAGGAAAGATTCGCTTAGGAAGCGTGGAGTTTGGGGAAGGCTGTAGAGGCGCAAAGAGATCAGCTAATAACAAGATGGCTATAGGCTTTCAAAACAAGGTTTGTGTGGTAGAACCTTCTTGCCTAACTTTTTGATTCACGGTTCTACATTTTTGTGTGCTTTCCTTTCCCAGAAAAGCATAAGCATTATTAAAGGAAAGGAGAATCCAAGTCCTCAAAAATGTCCCTGTCAACAGTGATCATTTAGAACTGAAAGAGGAAGAAGATGCTACCTGGAAGACCTTAAGTGGAAAGGAAGGAATCCCACTATCATTCTACTATTCAGAAGATTAAGCAAGAAATTGATTATTGCAATATTTTCCTTCTAAAAAATGTCCCCTCTACTTGAAGAAGATCCCATGTAACTCTTGTGTTTTCAGATGAGGATTCGAGATCTCATTCCACGGGGTGAAGGGGGCAGCTGGTGATGTTGGACGAGAGCAGGGGCTCTGAAACCACGTACCATGGTTTGAATCCCGTCATCGTCTTCACTTCTTAGCTCTGTGACAATGAGGAGGTTACTGACTCTCCTTGAACCTCGATGTCCCCCCATCTAGGACGTAAGACTATTCATGCCTATCTATTAATTAGGGTTTAATAAAAACAATGGGAAAAATAAGGTGCAAAATCACTGAGATACATTTAGTGAGTTAACGTGTTAAATCCTTTTCTTTTTTTTCCTTATTTCATAAAGCACACACACATTCTTAGTAAATCTTTCTAAAGGGCAATCAATAAGAAAGTATTTTGATCTGAGATTTGCATAGCTAAAACTTTGAAGCTTTTCAGGTTTTAGGGTCAAATGCAAGAGGCAGAGGTTTTGGAATAATATTCATTAGGCTGTAAATCCTTTTGCATTTGGGAATACTTCTTTCATATTTGTATATAAAGCTATTCACTCAGTATTTATTATGTGCCAAGAACTGGTTTTAAGTGATTTACATTTATTCTTCCACTTAGTTCTCACACACCCTGAAATAAAGGGTCGCTATTCCCATTTTAGAGGAGAGACTATGAAGGTTCAAGCTCGTAAATACTGTACAGCTTCCTTGGACCCTGATGTATAATAGATAATAACTAATCGATGGTTGGATTAATGAATTGCCCTGTTGTACTTATAGAGCACTTTGAATTTATACATCCTTCTCACATAGCAGATCTTGTCTTATCCTTTCTCAGGCAATCAAATTATTCTTTCCTTCTTCTTTCCCAGATTGGGAAGAACCTTATTACGCTTAGGTACAAGTAAGTGCCTTGAAATATTAATGGTTTTGAACAGAGTAAGACAGGCTTTCCAATTCGTTCCTTCTGATTGGTAAAGTCTTCCAAAGGGAGGAGGAAGAAATTGGTAGGAGTATGTCCGATTCTGAATAGCCCAAACCTGCTGCTTATATACTCTATTCCTTGCTAAGAGTGGGAAGCCAAATGACAAGACAAAAGATGAAAGTCAGTTTTGATGTTAAAGTCTGCTTTGGTGTCCTTGTAATATTGTCAAAGATCATTTATATTAACTTAACATAATTACTGTAATAGTGATGTATATTATAAATAAATCATCTTGAATGCAAACCATAGAAATTAAACAAATTAAGTGTTTAGCTCGAAGGTTTTTTTTTTTTCTTCCTTCTCTTCTTCTTCTTCTTCTTCTGCCTCTCCTTCTGTGTCTCTTCCTGAACACAGGCAGCCAGAGATTCAGGCCCCCAGATTTCTCTCTGCAGAGTGTACTTTACCTTTTGGATGGGACTTTAAAGACTTTAAACAGCTTGAGACTTATAGTTTGCCACAGGAGCATGTAGCAAATTCCTGTTTCTACTTTTTGAACCAGGAGCTGGAGTATAAGAGCCCTGCGCAGGAAGTCGCAGGTGGTGGGAAAGGGGAAACAAGGTCATTTCCAACCATGTACATTGAGGTTGTACCTTTAAAGTCAATTCTAAATTTAATTGAAAGCTGAGGGCAGAGAAGCCAAGATCGGAGCAATGTGGTGATTTATTCTGAAGCCTGTAAGAAGTCATGCGGCTGAATGTGGGATGAGCTGGGGCTTTAATAAAAATGGCACTGGGGAAGCCAGCGGGAAGAGGCACAAGAATGGAACTGGGTTAGATGAAGGATCTCCAGGCCTGAAAGGGAGCGGGGGTCTGAGAGCGCAGTGTTTGCCCAAACTCTGCTGTTTTTACCATGATGGATGCACATAAGTAATCCGCATCAAAAGCAAAAACCAAGATCAGAAAGAAGCTACCAAGACTCTTTAGACAGAGAATTTTGCATGAAATCATTAAGGTGCCCAAATTGCAGAAAGGCTATGAAATGAAGGGCAATGAGAACTCACCTAATATTATTTCTAGCTGAAATTTAGCTGAAGAAAAATGACAGGTTCCTTTATTAAAACACTACAGGACTTGACGGCAAAGCTCCCACACATTTCTATGGGTGTTATTGTCTACTAAATTATATTGGACTGTTGCAAGAGAAAAATCCATAACGTGTTCTCAGAATCAAATCTTCTCTGTTGACAAATGGTTTAGGAACAATCTTTCCAAGCTAAAAAAAAAAAAAGGAAACAAAAACTTGTTACTGGTTATTATATGAAAGGACCTGAGCTGGAAATTATACTTCCTGGGTTCTAGGCTCTCTGACCTGAGGGAGTGACTGTTTGTCCTTCCAGTGGTAAAGACTGCATGTTCCGTCCCTATGACTCTGATTTTTATAGGCCTTTTTTTTTTTAGATCAATCTCACATCCTATTCAGCATGACTATATTATTGATTCTAATCTTATGACAAATATATTACATGTTTGTTGCAGCAAACTCAGGCAATGCAAGAAAAAAAAATCAAGAAAATAGACATGCCTTATAATCTTACCATCCCCAGATTAACCACTGTTAACATTTTGGTCAATAGCACTCTGACTAAGATAATAGTCGAAGGACCGGGAAAGTTTACCTTTGGAGAACCAGGCACTGCTTCCTGTTGAGGAGGAGTTGTCACATTCGGAATTTGGATGTGGTAGTGGTGGCTCGCGTTGAAATCTTTAGCTAAGTGATTACTAACTTTGAGTCAGCCTTTCCCTCATTGCTCTCTTCTTTCTAGTTGACTGATTCATGCTGTGAAGATCTAGTTTGCCTCAGAGGAAACCACGCAAGGGTCAGTCTGGAGCCTGTGACTCACGAGCTTGTGACTATTAACTTTTGGTCACCTCCAAGTTCTAAATAATTTCGTAGGGGAGTGTAAGTGTTTGGGGTGTGTGTGTGTGTGTGTGTGTGTGTGTGTGTGTGTGTGTGCATGCGTGCTTTTTGGGCAATATTTGGACAAGGACTAGATAGCAATAAATACGTAAAAATGATTGCTATGTTGGGGTGTAGGAATTATGAGTGAAGTTTCTTCTAATTATTTCCTTTATTCTTGCTACAATATTTATGGAGCAAATAAAAATAGTAAGAAAAAGAGATGACAAGGAGAAGTACAGATGAGCACAAGGGATTGGGCGAACCAATTCTTTAGAAACAAGCAGTAGTGTATATGGCAAACCTTCTGCCTTCTAGGTGTAAAAAACAAAACTCACAATAACTATGCGTTTGCATTTAAGTTTCCTAGATCCAAAAGCAAAAGACCTGGGTTCAAATCCCACTGCTATCTGCTACGTAGTTTCTCTGAGCTTCAGTCTCCTCATCTATAAAGGAGATCATAACACTGCTCTTACCTAATTTACAAAGATGTAAAAGGAAAGTTGAAATGAGGTTGTTATGTGAAGAAAAATGTTATTTTAGGATTCTGAGGCCTTTTGTTTTACAATTATATTTGACAGTTAGAATTACTTCGATTAGCCATAGAATTTCTAATTAATAGGAGATTTCCCTCATGATGATATTGGTTCTGTTATAGTTGATGGTGTTTAATTTCTTTCTTTCAGGGAATCAGAGTAAAGCCATGGAATTTGGGCATGAATTTTGAGAGGCCTTGAACAGGAAACTTAGGCTCACTGAACCTCAGTTTCCTGTCCTGTAAAATGGGAAGAGCAAGACCTGCTAAAAAAAATTAGGAATAAAATATGTAAAACACCATTGATGAAACAATAAGTACCCTATATGTATAATGGCTGTTATTGTTACAACAGGATCAATTTTTAAAATATTGTCCCTCAGCTCCCTACTCACACAGTTCATATGTAAAAATGCAAGGACATGTGGCTCAGATGCTCCTGATACACTGTCCTTCCATTCCGTGGGAAATATTTCT